GAGCCTGGAGGCCTGGGAGCTTGGGGGCCTGGAGGCCTGGGAGCCTGGGAGCCTGGGGCCTGGGAGCCTGGGGGACTGGGAGCTTGGGGGCCTGGGAGCTTGTGAGCCTGGGAGCCTGGGAGCCTGGGGCCTGGGAGCCTGGGGGCCTGGGAGCCTGGGGGCCTGGGAGCCTGGGGGCCTGGGAGCCTGGGAGCCGGGGGCCTGGAAGCCCTGGGGGCCTGGGAGCCTGGGAGCTTGGGGGCCTGGGGGCCTGGGAGCCTAAGAGCCTGGGAGCCTGGCGACCTGGGAGCCTGGGGGCCTGGGAGCCTAGGGGCCTGGGAGCCTGGGGGCCTGGGAGCCTGGGGACCTGGGATCCTGGGGGCCTGGGGGCCTGGGAGCCTGGGGGCCTGGGAGCCTGGGGGCCTGGGAGCCTGGGAGCTTGGAAGCCTGGGGGCCTGGGAGCCTGGGAGCCTGGGGGCCTGGAAGCCTGGGGGCCTGGGGGCCTGGGAGCCTGGGGGCCTGGGAGCCTGGGGGCCTGGGAGCTTGGAAGCCTTGGAGCCTGGGGGCCTGGGAGCCCAGGGTCCTGGGAGCCTGGGAGCTTGGGGACCTGGGGGCCTGGGAGCCTGGGGGCCTGGAAGCCTGGGAGCTTGGGAGCCTGGGGGCCTGGGAGCCTGGGAGCCTGGGGGCCTGGGAGCTTGGGGGTGACACAACAATGAAATGGTGGTATCAAAAGATACCGGTTGAGGCAAGTGGATTGAATAATAATCATTCTAGAATCCACTTGGGCCTCATGCCAATAAGTTCCAGTACGGCTGGGTGGTTTGATGTTGACCATAGTTCGCAGGAACTACTCTCGCCTCGTGAAGCAGACATCCAGGAAGGCAGGTTCCAGCTTTAGACAGGTAAAGCCCCTGCCCAAACGCCAGTATGGACTTCTGCAGCAGTGCGGCATTAGGGTGGACAGACCGGCATATGACAGTTAGGCAACAGAGCCTAGAGCTTAACAGTAAGCTTACAGGATACAACACCTGGAGCCCCAACCCTCCCATCTCACCTCCCTGAGTGAAACCCATTCCCCCTCCTTGTCACCACCCTCCTAAATTAAAACTTCGGCTGCAGCCCCACTATCGGAGGTTGGCTGCACTTGCTGCACATGTATGAGAGCATGAGAATTAAAGCAGGCACTGCAAAGACAGTGCTGACACATACAATCCCAACTCCTCCAACCAGCCCCAGCCACACTTCCTAGCATGTAGTGTTATCATCATGACATGGCTAAAGATTCCACAACGAAACACACAACCATGGCACAGATGTGCCCCACCACTACCTGCCTACATCAAACAAATCTGCCGTATTCCGATAGCCATATCGAAGTACGACAGCGTTTTGATGCCCCATGTAAAACACATAAGAGCCCCGACCCTTACCCCCATCTTACCTCCATTCCCGGCTGGACGTCGGCCCCATCTTCCGAGGCCTGCTGCACGTGCAGCACGTGGATGGGAACATGAGAATTAGGAGACGTCAATTCGGGCAGGCACGTCAATTAGGGCAGGCACGTCAATGACGGAGTCGAAACATACACACCCCCCTCCCCCAACCAGCCCCAGCCACCCTCGATAGCATCAGGAACAAGAAAGAGGGCAAGGGGTAACGAATCCACAAAGAAAAACAACCCTGGCACAGCTGTGCCCCACAATTACCTGCCTGCATCAAACAAATCTGCCGTACTCCGATAGCCATATCGGAGTACGACAGCGTTTTGATGCCCCACGTAAAACACATAAGAGCCCCGACCCTCGCCCCCATCTTACCTCCATTCCGGCTGGACGTCGGCCCCATCTTCCGAGGCCTGCTGCACGTGCAGCACGTGGATGGGAACATGAGAATTAGGGCAGGCACGTCAATTCGGGCAGGCACGTCAATTAGGGCAGGCACGTCAATGACGGAGGCGAAACATACACACCCCCCTCCCCCAATCAGCCCCAGCCACCCTCGATAGCATCAGGAACAAGAAAGAGGGCAAGGGGTAACGAATCCACAAAGAAAAACAACCCTGGCACAGCTGTGCCCCACAATTACCTGCCTGCATCAAACAAATCTGCCGTACTCCGATAGCCATATCGGAGTACGACAGCGTTTTGATGCCCCACGTAAAACACATAAGAGCCCCGACCCTCGCCCCCATCTTACCTCCATTCCGGCTGGACGTCGGCCCCATCTTCCGAGGCCTGCTGCACGTGCAGCACGTGGATGGGAACATGAGAATTAGGGCAGGCACGTCAATTCGGGCAGGCACGTCAATTAGGGCAGGCACGTCAATGACGGAGGCGAAACATACACACCCCCCTCCCCCAATCAGCCCCAGCCACCCTCGATAGCATCAGGAACAAGAAAGAGGGCAAGGGGTAACGAATCCACAAAGAAAAACAACCCTGGCACAGCTGTGCCCCACAATTACCTGCCTGCATCAAACAAATCTGCCGTACTCCGATAGCCATATCGGAGTACGACAGCGTTTTGATGCCCCACGTAAAACACATAAGAGCCCCGACCCTCGCCCCCATCTTACCTCCATTCCGGCTGGACGTCGGCCCCATCTTCCGAGGCCTGCTGCACGTGCAGCACGTGGATGGGAACATGAGAATTAGGGCAGGCACGTCGATGACGGTGGTGAAACATACACGCCCCCCTCCCCCAACCAGCCCCAGCCACCTTCCATAGCATCAGGAACAAGGAAGAGGGCAACGGGTAACAAATCCACAAGGAAAAACAACCCTGGCACAGATGTGGCCCACCACTACCTGCCTACATAAAAAAACTGCTGTATTCCGATAGCCATATCGGAGTACGACAGCTTTTTAACGCCCCACATAAAACACATAAGAACCCCGCGCCTCCCGCCCATATCACCTCTCCAAGCGAGCCTAATTCCTCCTCACGGTGGCCACCCGCCTCCATTCCCGGCTGGATGTCAGCCAAGAGTAACTAAAGTTAGTTCAGCGCGACAGTGAGTGGCGGTGAGTTATATTTTAACGTTGCTACAAGGTATAGTTAAATATAACACAAATCCCTTATCCCAATTGAAGCTATTCCGAATTCCTTCTCACTTGAAGCGGTTTCCTTCTCACTTGAAGCGGTTCCGATTGCAATACTTGGCGCATATCGTGTTTGACTGAGTTGGGAGTTATGGCTACGTGATTTGGTCTTTCGTAATGAAGATATTTGTTTGATGGAGAGGACATTGAAGCCATAATAGCCAAAGCCGTACATGAGCGGTTATGTCAGCCAATGGCTCGGAAACCTCGTCGGTCGTAATTTTGTTCAGTAAACCTGACAAGGTTTTAAATGATTTCAGCCGACTTTCGGATATTGTGGCATGGACCCACTACATTGGCGGACCTGGTCGACAAGGTCGATCAATGTCGGCCTCGGGTAACCTTGCCTATGTACTTATTTGTTCATGAGCTATATTCTACTTTGTGCTGCAACAATCGGCGTTCCTTTGCGCCATGACCATGACTACCAATGGTCATGTTACATCGGAGCACCAATACAGGTGGCAAACACCGTAAGTAACCTAAATTTCACTTATGATGAATTCACCGGCTATATTCATGCTTCCCAATGTGCTTTCGGGACTGCACGTCAAAATAACCTCGTCCAGACAACTGTCCCGTAGCTGCTGAGCCTTGGGCGCTACACGTCTCTGGACTGCCAAATGGCCGTAGGTAGAGAGCAAATCGTCAGGACAAATAATGCCTCCCCACACTCAAATTGGATGGCAAACATTTTAACTAACCTCGTCATAACATTTCACACACTCAGCGCGCATATCTGTGCATAATTATGACACTTTCAAGGTTGCACATTTACCAAGCTTCTAGCTGGCGAGTAACCTGTCCAGACAACTGCCCCGTAGCTACTGAGCCTGACGAGTTACACGTCTCCGGACTGCCATAGGGACTGTCCTTTGGTGATTGCATGGTGGTGAAAAGCGTGGCTATAGGTTAACACCATGGCCATCTGTTCATTATGTGCCGTGATTTTTCATATTAATCATCAGAATAAAGTAGTGCGGTACATAATTATTTGTGATGGTTATATGATGTTATGATGCTTTTCAGTTTTGGCTGTCTCACTCGATCCCTCGGTATCACATCTCATGTCCACTGGATTATTTTTTATCTCTCCCTTCTATTTATACCGAAACAAAAGCGAATCAACATTGTTAGTTGGCGGTTTAGGCACATGGCGCCTACGGGATTTCAACTTGCAGGATGATAGCCTCTGGTTTGGCTTCTGTAATTGTCCTGGCAACGGGCTGCAACAACTGAACCCTAAACATGAAGATGCACCCATGCTGGGCATGCATGGGTGCATCTTCATCCCCGTACGGACTGGGGCTTCCTTCATTTGGCCTTACTATGGAGAGCCCCGCTTGAGCACACACCACATGCCTGGGTGTACACCACACCCTAGCCGTCAGTGAGGCGGCTATAACTGCCGCTAAGGGTAGAGGCCTTGCACCGCAGCCCTACTGTGCGGGTTCTTACTAAGCGGTACCTTGCATGGTTGTGACGTGACATGCATAGCACCATGGCCGAGGCGGAGGTCATATTGCAGCATCCACATGGTATCCCTGAAGTGCTGCAAGTGATGAGGAGCATGTGAAGTACTACCCAGACTGTGAAGTAAAATCCCACACTGTATGTAAGCGGGGTGTATGTAGGACAATACAGTCCTCTGTAAAGCAGCAGTATACCACACTATGAAAAGGGTAACACACCCCAAGCTAGGCTGTAGGCACCCTTGGTTGGTTGGTGCCCTTGCTTGGCACCCTGCTTTGGTTTTCAGCAAATGCTGGAAATTGCTTCAGATTCACACAATGCCTCTGGAACCCCTGGAAGGACGGATGCACCACGACGAAGGAAAGGAGCAGCCGTAGAGCAGATCCTATATGCTGAATGGTCGATGTTCTGTTTCCCTGTCTGATGAAATGGACGATAGAAAATTTTAACCCATGTGTGAGTGGCTTTACATGATGGATCGGACTGACTCGCTGGTGCGGTCTGCATGCCAACTTGAGAAGTCCTTTCCTGATATTTGGGCGCTGTTCGAGTCCGGCCCAACGGTCCCTGTTAGCTTGTTTGCGTGTCATTGGTGGCTAATTGTCCTGGGCCGTAGCCATACGGTCGTCAAAAGTCCTGGTTTCTAAGCCTTTTAGATCGTACTAAACATCTTAAGGGCCACCAGCAGTACGGTGCTGTACCAAAGCAGCTGCATTTCGTACCCTCCGAATCCGTACATCGCCAGGTCATCCTGCTGAGCTCCTCTACCTCTCTCCCCCTTGATGAGGTGTTGTCTCCTGTGCTCCCATCCTTGATCTTATCCTGTCCTGACTAAGCATGCATTTTGCACTCCACGATTATTCCTCTGAAACCTAAAAGATGCCTTGCTCATCCAAAGACGTTCCTGCCCTGCCATGTCTTCAGCAGTCTCCCTTCCTTGCTTCCCCTCGCTCCCAACCACAACCAGCTCTGGAACCCCAGCAGCTAGCCGGAGCAGCAACTGCCCGAAGTCCTGACCCCTTTTCTGCGGCCGGGGGCCAGCCCCAATCCAGCCAACAAGTACCAAAGCTTCCAGCAAGGCCCCAAACAACCTCCAATAACTGCCTCACGTGACGTCCTAAGATACCTCCACCGCCGCAAACTTCACGGTGTCGTGGCTTGGCTGCTCCTGGTGGGATCCGGTCCTTTGTCATTCGTATCACTTTTGACTTCTAAATCCACACTTCAGCTCCTCGCCTAAATGCAAATTCTCAAAGCTGAACACGAAACGGCATCTCTTCAAAGTATGCCGATTCCAGTTCGTAAAAGGCGTGTAGATTACGCGGGTCCAGGTAAATCTCGTCCTCACAGCCCATGCCTGCAGGACAACATGACAAATAATTTTACATACTTCGTATGAACCTGAACATCCCTGAATACACAAGGCAGGCGGCTGGCAGAGGTTAAGGCCTGACTTCTGCTCCCGGAGTGGCCGGGATCAAATCCGCCTGTTGACCAAACTCTCCGAGTGTTTGAGGAGTGTTAAATTGGAAGATGGAGTTCCATCTTGTGGACGACATAGGCTAATATCAACTTGCGAGCCGGCCATGAACTAAATTGAGGCGCTGTTTATCCACTAGAATTGGTTGGATGCTGGTGGTGAGTTGCTGAACCCAACGAATACATTCTGAAGTCGGATGGGGTGAACGGATTAGGGTGCCCCTCTCGCAGGGGAGAGCAGGGACTGCCTCCAAGGGAAAGGGGGCCGCTGGTGAAGCTTAACCACCCTGTAACAACATACTAAAAAATTAATTCCACGGTGGCCCGGATAGAACGGATAATGCCTCCGCGGCGTTACAGTAGGGATCTTATACAGGAAACAAAACCAGGAATTGGCAGATTGGTTGTGGAAGTCATGGAAAGTCGATGATTCCAAGAACGTTCCTTTCTAATCAGCGTGTTATTTTTGGTTGAGTCCAAAGGAGGGGCAAAAAAATACAACCAACATGGTGGCTGACCTTGGCTTGCAACTTCACAGGCACACTGACAAAAGGCTTGTGCCGTGCGATACCGTTGTACGACCTCCCAAAATCACACAAGGGTCACCCACCTAGCGTCGCCATCTCCGCCAATTGCTGTACGACATCAGCCAGGTCCGCCTCATCAGCGTCGTCGTACTCCCCGGCACTCCCGTCCTCCCAATCATCCCCGCCGTACTCGCTGTCGTCGTACTCGCTGTCGTCGAACGTGCCGTCACCGACGCCCTGCACCTCTGCGTCGGCCTCGATAAGGTGGCCCCGTTTATCGTTGTACGGCGTTGTACGGCGTTGCGGTCCGTAATGCCGCCGTCACCGCCGCCGCCACCGTCACTATCACCGCGGCCGTCGCTGTCGCCCTTGTCCAGCCCAGCCTCGTCTCCAGCAGCACTCCCCGCGGCAGCAGTAGCTACTGCGGTGATACTGCTGCCGCTGCCCCGCCGAGCAGTGCGGCAAGAAACAGATGTAGCTGCAGTAGCATCACCCGCCGGCCGCCGCCACACGGTGGTGGCCACGGCGGCGGTGGCGGCGGAGATGGCGTCCTGCCGCATCCGCCGCCGTACCAGTGCCGTACCAGCTCCTCGGTAGGTTCCTCTGCGGACCATATAATAGATGTCAACGTCAATAACAGAAAGACAACCGGAATGAAAGCAATAGCTGAGAGGAGCCACATCATATCTACGTGCAGGTAAAGCCGTACGACTAGGCGGACTAAATACTGTGCATGTCGCATAACAAAGAAATAAACCCAGAGCCGTGTGCAGCAAGACGGTGTAAATCCCCCATTTCTCTCCTCACAAGCCAACCCGAGTTGTATTTTTTGGAGGGTTTTAATTTTATTAAAACCCTAAAGACCCCTTACGTCTTAATTCTCGCGTGAGGCAAACCTGTTACAGCCTCCACATCTCGAGGAGGTCTCGAAGCAATACCACGACCCGGATACTACGGCCCAAAGCCGCTTGGCTTGTACGAGGAGCAGGAGCAGGAGCAGGAGGAGGAGCAGGAGCAGAACGCGCCCAGGGTGGCGGTATTTCGGGTACTCCTCCTCAACAAAAGCAGGTTTTCCGCCCCAAAGGTCATCCCGACCGCCTTGTCGTACCTTGTCACGCACTGTCGTACAAGCTCCCGCCAGTACCTGTCCGCCAGCAGTACGGCAGGATGTCCCACAACCACCAGTAACGCCCGGCTGCGAGTCACAGCTACGTTAAAGCGCCGTGGGTGCGACCAGAGACCGAGCGGTTGGTGGCAGGGAGGTGGCGGCGCCGCGACCGTTCCATCACCATCAGCAGTGGCGGCGCCCCGACACATATATATACATCCCTACGGTCCTTTCCTATAGCCAAACGTTCAAGAGCCGTGGGAGAACTGCGCCCGCTCCTGAACGGTTAGAACAGTCGGTTTGTCGCCTTGTGTATGTACTGATTGTTCGCCCAAGTAACCAGAGGACATAAGCTACGTCGGTCCAGTCAGGATGAATCGAACATTCAGGGGTCCAAGCTCGTTTCATTTGTCTCGATTAAAGAGCATGCGCGCACGCACCTGCAAATACGCTTTCTCTATCCCACACCGACGAACATACATACATACACATATACATACGTACATACATACACACGCACTCGTTACCTGCAAACAGCCACCACCACCACCACCACCACCACCACCACCAGCAACTTGCAAGTTTGCACGCATGTACATGGCAATTCAGCTCTTCACCCGCCAGCCAGCATTACAACCCGCACGTTGAAACCATCCTCAGCACGCTAAACCACCACCACAACAACGCAAGTCGTACATTTCCCCCAATAAAGCTATTATATGGTTATTTCCTCCATCACCAAAGCCTAGGTAGGCGCGTCGGAGTGTAGCGGGGCGGGGCTACGCGCCACCAGCACGACTGAAGCACACCCATCCAAGGCCGCGTGTTGACGTACATATGTACATATGCACCGATGTACATATGCTCCCTTCAAGCCCACATTTCAACCAAGGACTCATTCGCTCAGACGAGGGAGAAAGAGAGAGAGAGCAATCACCGTAGGCAAAAAAGCGCGGCCGGCGCCCCCACCCTGCATCAGCCCCCTACCGCTTTTCCGCCCTTGGCTCCTCCTGATTTTATCAGCAGGACGATTCCCACCTTTCCTCGGCTCGGGCATTCTCCTTTTGTTATTAATCCAGTCAGCGGACAGTCATTAAGAGGTAAAGTATGCACTTTTCGCGCCCCAACTTTCCGTCCCAACCACATGTCTCTTGTTGGGTGTTTACGCACCCTGCTTTCCATAGCCGTCGCCCTTCCTCTAATGCCGCCGCATGTAGGAACATGCATGCAACCTGCACGCTAACTACTGCTTCACTCCGGTGGGCGCGAAAACGCAAGCACGATGGCTAATGGCGATAGATAGCTCTGCAAGGCAGCGACGCCGTTGCGCACCGCCACGCCACGCTTCGGTATTGCAGTACCTGCCACCATCACAAATCTCCACTTGACGCCAGATCTTGTTGGTCAGTCCAGGTTGGTTGTTGTTCGGTCTAGGTCAACACACTCCTCCTCCTCCCAACCAGTCCTCATATCTCATCATCCCCAAGTCCCTCCTCCTCCGCAAAATCGTCAATGGGCGGGAAATCGCCCACTTGTACCTTATCCGGCCGTACAAACCCGCCGTACCCTTGTGCGCACTCAAAGTACTTGCGGCCCTTGACGCTGCCGTCGTTCTTTCCCAGCGGCTCGTCGTATTTGACACCCACCCAGAAGCCCAGAGGCAGCCCCTCCACCCGTCCCACAAACATGACCTCCCCACGGCGGTCCCCGGGGTCCACAGAGCAGCGCTGACCAACGCTAATGGCCGCAGCCAGATCCATCATGTGGTCGGGGTCGTCGACCTTGGGCGCCGGGGGGACGTGCTCGATGCCGCGGCGCTTGGCCATCTCTTTCTCCAGGGTCCAGGAGGGATCCCTGGCCAGCTGCTCCGCCTGTGTGTGGGGAGGAGGAGGAATTAATCAGGTAAGGGACTTGTCAGGCAATTCTCAAGAGCCGTCATTACCATCAAGATAGCAGGCAGCAGCAGCAGCAGCAGCAGCAGCAGCAGCTCACAAACGACTGGGCACTGGGGGCACACTTCAGCACCGATCTGCGGCGCCCCTTTATTCCCTCGTCCCCCCAACCCGCGCATCCTGTACCTCTGGGGGTTCCATGGAATCATGTTTTCATGTTTCCCTCCTTCCCTCCTTTCCCCCTTCCCTCCTTTCCCCCTTCCCTCCTTTCCCCCTTCCCTCCTTTCCCCCTTCCCTCCTTTCCCCCTTCCCTCCTTTCCCCCTTCCCCAGTTTTTCCTGACCTCCGTAAGTCCTCCTGCCTCATCCGACCGGTTTCCTCCAGGGTGCGAAATTATATGAATACGTAAACCCATCGCTTTCCCTTGTCCGCGCAACAAACAAAACTCCTCCTACCCTCCATTTCTTGTTTCAAAGGAACCACCCCTACCAATTTACGCATACGCCCCGGGGGACCCACCTTCCATTTCCGGTACGTCTTTTCCCGCTTGTTGTAGTCCTCGTCGCTCATGCGGTACTTCTCCACCAGCGAGGTGTCCTCCAGCCACCCGCCCGCGGAAGCGGAGGTGGGATCCATGTCCGTGATGTGCAGCGTGTAGCCGTCGCGGGGGGTGTAGTAGCCCAGCTTGCGGTGGTCCTCCCAAAGTGATGCCACGGGTGAACCCGATTCATCCAATAGAGCCAACAGCATGGCCGAGGGGGAGGTGCCGCAATGGAAGGAAAGCTTTACCTTCACGGACTCGATAGTGGCCTGGGTTGGGGGGTAAGGCGAAGAACCGCTGACACTGGCGAATGAAGCACATACCAGAGATAGACGGATACTGGGTCGGGAAAGGGAGGTGTAAGATGTTGTGGACGCAATGGGCGTGTGCGGAGAGGTTTTTTTTAATGGGTTGAGGGGTATGTGTGTTCCGGATAGGGTGGAAAGGGCAATCTGGGTTGAGTAATGGGTGCACGAATTGGTGGTGTTGTAGATTGGCGATGTAATTGTGGTTAGGAGGGAGGTTAGGATGGAGGAAATATTTAGGAAGGTTTGTTTAAGGACGTGTGGTGGGTACTTGGTAGTTGGGAGTCCGGGGCGACCGGGGTGTCAAGGACTGTGGATTGCGGAAATGGCGTATCATGGTCATGCGCACGGCGTTTTGAAGTTTAATGCAAGAATTATAAGGTGTGGTCGATACCGGGTCACCAAACAAAGCAAAAAAATGGAGATGGTGAGGGGGCCGTGGAAGGAGTCAACGCAGAGACGGCAGCTGTGCCATGCCATGGCGTGGCTAAATTTGTCCTACACCCAGGGGCCTCTTACGTGCATGTCCAGCCGGATCTCCATGAACTTCGCTTTGAGGTTGTTGTGCGTGACATGAAGGAGGACGGTGGACTCGGCTCGGTTTGCAAAGCCGGAGTCAGGCCCGACCACATATGCCCTAAGAGCCTCGACATCCTCACGATTGAGGAATTGCGCCATTATTTTTTATTATTGCGCCAATTATGCTCCGACCGCGGGCGGCGCAAGGGGCCGCGGAGGCAACGTTGGGCGCCAAAGTAGTGCCTGGAAAACTTCCAGGTAGACAAATATTTCAGATAAAGCTACCACAAGGGCAAAGGAACGTTAACTGCTGTGATCGCAGTTCGCAATACGAAACTGTTGGCGTCAAGAAAATATAACAAGTATTTTTTTACCGTTTTCAATTATTGCTTTGCGTTATGTTGTTAACTACTTTAAAGTCGAACAGTAGGCACGCCGTAATGCGCCAAACAGGCTGAAAATGGTTGACGTCGTATCGCATGGGAACGGCAACTGAACCGGGAAGACAGCTCATCGGCACCAAGTTGCATACAGTGTTTGGGAGCGCACAATTACCGGATACCTTTAAATGCTGCCCAGAAATATTCGTCAACAAGATGACCCATACTTGCCGGCCCAGTCGCATACACGACTCTGAACAACTTCCGCAAACCGCTTCTGCGCTAGCTTGAGGAGATTTTAGCCAAGTACCATATTAGGATAAATGGGCAAGGGCCGAGGACGAGGGCGTGGCAAGGGTGGTTGCGAGGTGAGGTGGTTTGTTTGGGCAACACTTTTTGAGGCGGAGGGAATCCCTGCAAACGATGCAAATATTGTGTTATAGCAACGTCTTGGAGCTAATGCTTCGAGTCCCAATCATTATTTAGTGGAACTTAGGCGCCATGTTCCGCTTGCCGATTGCCTACAGGACTGCTAAAAGGCGCCGGCACGAAATCTTATTTAGTTTGCCAGCATCTGTGTTATTAACCGTGTCTCGCGCGTAACCGTGCAGCCTTTTTCTTCTCTTGCCCGTGATTCGTCCAAATATTTTGTCTCTGTCTCTCAAGGCTGGTTCAATTTGTAACTGCACCAGAACTCACGCCCCGCACTTGCTCATACGTTCCCCAGTTTCTTTTAATGCCAGGACCTTTCCCATATCAGTCCCGCCGCAAGGACTGCCCGTTCGCTCACCCCTCCACAGCCCCTCACTCTGAACTGCATACCCCGTACCTATACGGCGTCTCTACCCCTGTTTCACACTTTATTCAGCTGCACACACTAACGATACGCATTATCCCCTTCCTTCTAAAATAAGCAACACGATTTTGAATTCCGTGCGAAAGCTAATCGCATTCCAACCATGCGAACTCTTCTTCTAACGGCTATTTTGACACCACCCCGCTTCCGACCGACTGGCACGCTCACGATAGTGCTGCGAAGCCATCCACGCCGTCGCCTGCTGCCTGTGCCTCGTTCTCTTCGGCGGCCCCATCCTGATTGCCGTGGGCTCTACCCTTATTGCGGCAGCGAATCGAAACGACCGCGCACGCGGAATTGGTAAGACATCGTAGGGAGGCGCATCGCTGGGGCGGTGGCAACGGGTTAAAAAATTGCTGTTATTTGATTTGAGCGCAAAAACGAGATATTCAATGAACTAGCTAGTTTCTGCAGCTGGCATTTGCGCAGTGGCAGGGAAATGCAGAAACGTTTTCATTACAAGGGGGTAGCTCGGTTAGCTCCTTTGTAAGGAAAGCCGGGGCGTTACTAGCGGAACAGCTAGGGGGGGGGCAGTTGGACAGCCAACGGCCAGCAAGCTCCGTTGGGAAAAATCGAACGATGGGCGTGTGGCGCGGCGTGCGAGGGCGTTCCGTGTCAGCTACTTGTTGACTGGTGATTTCTTCTTCTTCATCCACCCGCCTTTCTGGCCATCCTGGCCGGTCGCGCGGCTGATGTTCTTTCCAATCTGGCAAAAAACCGGCTTTCTGGGCAATAACGTTCACAGGTGGCAAGCACTGCACTTTTATCTTTTTTTTCTTTGCTCGCAGACGCCGTACAGGCTGCTGTAAACGCTTGGAACGACCCAAATTCGCCCAACGGCTGGCAGCAGTTTCAGAAGCTGGTTGTGTTTGCCAGCATGCGGCCAACGGCACCAAGCTGTACATCATCATCGTTGCAGCTGCAGGCAAGTCCGATTTCGTTTTTTCTATTCTCAAACAAAACACAAAAATACCTTTTTAGTGTGAATCACAAAAGTGGAGTAACATGCGTCTGCACCGCACAAATACGTTACGTACTCAGCTATCTACGTTTTTGTGTACGGCAGCTACCGTCGTATTTGTGTACGGCAGCTACCGTATTTGTGCATGCACGTACGCCTCTGCGCAACAGCGCTGCCTATCCAACTATCTAACTATCTAACCACGTATCCATTTACCTATGATATTCATCTACACAGGGTTGGTTGTTCGATTTTTTAATTTATCTACGAACCAACTTTTTACAGTTGCAGGTCGACCTCACAAGCCCCCAGGATCGCTACTGGGACGAGGAAGGGCGTTTCAGCCACATCAAGCAGCTGCGGTTGAGTGCCTACACCAACTACAGCACCTTCATGGAGTGTCGAACGACGGTGCGACTCGGGCATGGGGGGCATGGGGGGCGGGGCAGGGTGGTGATATGCACTGTGCCCGCTATAAGACACGACCACGCTGGCATAACCGCTAGGGTCGTGAAGACATACATACATACATACATACATACATACATACATACATACATACATACATACATACATACATACATATGTGTGTTGGGCGGGAGGCAGCCGGCATGCCTTCGTCCCACCCCGAACTGCCCCGGGAAGCTCCCCGGCTCCCGGACCTGGCTTGGGCTTGTCCGTACGAGCCTGCCGGTCTGGGCAGCCTGTCTGAGAATTAAAACCAAAGTTGAAACGAACAAGGAGGTAACAAGACACGCTTGATGTCACACATATACGCCTAGAAAAAATAATATAAGAATTAACAAACAAGAAATTAATGTGGAGTAGCATGAATATATTTAAATATTACGCATAATTAGTTTCATAAATTTGGTGACGTAATTTTTATTGCTAAATTGAAGTATTAAATAAAATGAGATTAATCATGAGTTTGAAAAGAAAAAAAGAAAGGAAAAAATGGAACCCATAAGGAGGATAAAGAGGATTATGGGCGGAGGGATGATGATGTGTTCCAGGGGCGGGTACTGTCGTCAAATTGCTCAGCCTTCCTGGAACCCTCCATGGTTAGGGGCTCTGGATTTAGCTGTCCAAATCAGATCCAGTTTCTAAATCAGATCCAGTCGAGCTGGGCGCCGTATTCCTTCGCGCCCTCATCCGCCATTCACTTTGCAGTGCTTCATTGGGTTCCCCCTGCTCTCCCCCCGGCGGGGGATTTCTTACTGCTGCGTCACGGCGTCTCATCCACCCAAACCCTTGGCCTGGCGCCCTGCTCTCTCCGCTCCCCATCTCCCCCCCTCGCACACACACACCCTTTCCGATCCCCGTTCCTCTTCGCCGCCTTTGGTTTTACATTCTACTACTACGGTCTCCCTTCCCCGGCTTTTCTGCTTTCTTTAACACTTTCCTCCTTCATCTCGGCGGCTTTTTTGCTGTTTCACCACCGTCACTGCCACTATCACTACTGCCACTATCGCCACCGTCACTGCCACTATCACTACTGCCACTGCTACTGCCGTCACCGCAGGTTAACTTGACGCGGCAAGTGGCCAACGGCACGGGGACCGCTCCCTTGGTGTATTTGCCCGCCTTGGGTAAGTGCCAGCCCGGGCCGGCGATCTTGGTCATGTTGGCACATTGGGCCACGGCCCGCTCAAGGGGGGGGGAAGAAGGGTTGGGAGAAGGCCGTCTCACTGCCACTCCAACCACTTCCAACCACTACCACTGTCTTCAATTGCGCCTCCCTGATTTTACGTCATCCATGCATTTTCTGTGTGGACACTGGGGGGGGCTGGACCGTGTCTGAACGTCGTCTTTTTCTGGTCCTGGTCCTGGTCCTGGTCCGCGGCCTTGTCTGCCGCAGCAAGCAGCAGCTTCCTTGACTACTCCATCCTGCTGGACAAGGCCGGCGGACCAAGGAAATGCTCCTCGCGAACCGACGGATGCTCCACGTCCAATGCAGGCAACTGCAAGTTTAACTGCGAGGTGAATGCGGGGGAGGGAGGGGAGGGGGGCATCGGGGGGAATGGTGCTTGTGGTGGTGAATGATGATGGGGATGTTGGTTGAGGTGGGGAAAGCCCGGGGGGGATATTCTAGCCCGCCTTGCGTCTTTCTGGGACGTGGTGATGGTGCCGACGGCGACGACGCGGTGATTGCAGTGCGGTGTTATCCTACAAAAGGCCGTAGGGCCACAGGGCGCACGCACTTCGCGGGCTGTGTGTGTGTGTATGTGTGTATCTTACGCTGTGTGTGTGTGTGTGTCTTCCTTTGATACCTGCTTGAGTGAACGAGTGAGAGCAAGCAACTTCGTGTCTCCGTTTGTGTACCAAAACCTCGCGCAGAACTACTTTTACGGCGAGTGGAGATGCAACGGCGGCAACTACCAGTGTTATGTCGATGTAGGTCACCACACGGCCCCCCGCTCCGCACCACACACCCGTCCACCGGCACACCGGCAGCAGCTATTGTGTACCTTCATTCGTTTATCTATCTGCACATAATATTAATTATCATTTGATTGTTATAACTATTATTATCATTATCATTATTGTTATTCATTGGCGACTTTTAAATTGTTGACCCTGTCGCCTGTTCGTTTTGGTCTCGTTCGGTTCCCCTCCAGTCCCGTTTCAGTTCCCTTCTGTAACATCGCCGTCGCAGGAATCGTACTTCAACAATTTTGCCATAAAAGTGTCGTACCAGAATAACGGTAAGTACTGGCCTGGTGTTTATTGCTCAGTCCTGCCGTGTTGCGTTACAGTAGCTAGGCCGCCAACCGCAAGCACAACTCGGTGGCAAACAACCCGTTGCGAAACCCCCTCCCAACACCAACCCATTGTGAAAGTTGCACTAGTGGCCGATAGTAATGACAGTTACCTGTGTTGCACCGTTCACGAATCTGCAACCTCAAACGCCCCGACACGAGCCACGCGGGCGACCCACCCGAAACCAGCAAGGACAAACCAGGGACCGCTGCATTGTGGCAACCCCCGGGGTTGCCCTGGGTGGGTGGGGGGGAACGACGAGGCACAGAAAATTGACGAGAAAACGCACCGATACAGTTACTCCAAACTTCAAACTAAAACCCTAAAACCCTAAGAACAATGAGTACGCTACCGACCCGTGGGTGGGGGGAAACTAGAGGACACTGTCCCAGCAGCGGGGCACACCTCTTGGTAGGTAATAGTCAAAACAACGGCAGTTAAAGAACCAATGCGCCTGTGGGACCCAAGTAAGGAGCTCGGCGTCCCCTGCCGTACTGCGGTCCGGCGCATGCATGCATGCATGCGCCCTACTTCCACGCACCACGGCAGTTCCTTCGCAATAACTTGCCTATCTCTACACTCATACTTCGCTTCGAGAAGTCGAAGCTTGGTGATGAACGGCTGGGGCCCGGCATCGCCGCCTCAAACCCAGAAAAAAGGTTATGATCAGCGATTGTTGGCTCCCACTGCGGCATTTCGGACGGTTACGAATTCTCTCTCGCCAATGCGCTCTACGGCATCTCAGGGTTTCGCGCCTGACGACGTAACGCTAACAGCCACCAAAATGGCTGTTACGGGGGAGATGTGCCATGTACGGAATGGATCCGTTTTCGGGCCCGTCGTCATGCCGTACGACATGCTCTTGCGGAAGTAGAAGAAAAAAGAAGTGTTGTTATCGACGCCGTCACACATCCCCCCCCCAGGAAACAACGCAGGGAATAACATCACTGGTAAAATATTTTTGTCCTTGGTTGCAAGTAAGTAGAAATAACTTTTTTTTTGCCATTCCCGCATCCGTCTCAAACCCTCACCCTCACCTTCACCTTCACCCTCTCACCCTCACCCTCACCACCCGGGCAGGTTACTTTTTGGATTCCGTAAACCCGGGGCCAGGAGGAGGTGCCAATGTACTGCCGGCAGGTGTGCGGGAGGCTTCGTGGGCCTTACGAATACGTTTTTTGGGAGGGTTTGGGGCGGTTGAAAATCTTGGTCGCGCTTTGTAAGCCTGAAGACTCCAACTCCACAACACGCGCCCCCTCTCGCCCAGACCCACCACATACATATGTGCGAACACACACGCACACACGGTCTTTCCGTTGGGGCTGGGCAGCGACTTCCCCCGCTCTCTTTCCCCCTCCCCCCGCTTTCTCCCACCCTTCTTCCCAACACACACACACCACGCACACACACACGCACACACACACACCAAACCAGGCTACCAACGGCAGTACGACGACACCAAGATGTTGCCCTCCACGGTGCCCACGGGGCCGCTGTTCCAGCTGCCCAATGTGGTGCGCTACAGCGGGGCACCGCCCGACCTGTTTTCTGTGACGGTGCGCTCCTCCGCCGACCCCTGGCTCGCCTACATGGAGGCCACGGACGGCACCGGCTACTTCGGCTTCACGAAGGTTGGTTTCTTACTTCCTGCACTTATCCGACATCGTCATCATCATCATCATCATCATCATCATCATCATCATCATCATCATCACTAGAACAAAACACACGTTCAAGTGGTCTTTTTACCTGGTATTTCCTTACGCACACAGATACGCACACACACACACACACGGTGACAGTATTCACTTAGGTGCTGGGTTTCAATTTGGGGTTGTTAAAAGTTTTATTATATGCGTTCGTGAGTTCATGGGTTTATGGACGCCCCCGCATGAAGATGGGGTTGAAAAAAGATCGGAAAGAGTTGGACGGGGGAGTTTCAATAACCCCAAGGGGAGGTGCCTCGTAATTTCGCAGAGGTGGTGTGGTGGGGTGGGGTGGGGTGTGGTGGTGGTGGTGGTGGGGAGTCTCGCAGGTCCAGATCCACTCCCTCTTTAGCTGGCCCCACTCCACTCCGCCTGGCTGTTAAGATACCTACCACCGCATTAGGGTGCATTTCAGGACGCAGGTTCCGGGAGGCCCTCGCGCAGCACAGCGTGCCTGGGAAAGGGGGGGGGGAAGCTGAACCACGAACGAGTGAAGCCGGTGTTGGGAAAGGGGCGGGGAAGGATGCAATCAGTGGGGAGTTCGGGAGCGGGAAAGGGTTTGTTCCCTGGCAATTTCCCCTTCTTCCCTCCCCCTTGGGCTTCACTCGTTCGTGGTTCGTGGTTCGTCTTTCCCCCCTTTGGCTTTACCCGCGTACCAAAGCGGCGTATCGAACCCTCCCTAGTCCTAAGTAATGGGAAGCGACAGGGGATGAGGACAACAAGCTCCATGTAGATTTGCTCCAGGTGCCGTCTATGCCGTCTATTTCCCTAGCCATCATCCGCCACACATGGATCCATTCATCCATCCTTCCATGCACACATCCACATCCACATCTCTCTCTCCTCCTCCTCAGTCCCTATCAGTCCTCCAATGCCCCACCGGGTGCTCAACCCCGCGTTGTGGCCCCATCTCACCCCATGCGTGTGTGTGTATGCATGCGTGTGTACGGCCCGTACATGTGCCGTAACAGAGCGTCCTCATGGCCACGGGTGCAACCCTGGTGGTGATGGGGAGCCTGGGAACCTTGCTGTGGGTGGTGGCGGCCTTCTACGTCTGGTGGATGCTCTGCAGCCGACATAAACCCAGATCACGGCCTTCAGGCGTGAGTGGATACGCTTGGGACCTGGCAAACAGGTATGCTCGCGTGTGCGTGTATGTATGTATGTACGTATCTACGGTGGGGCATATACACCTGTATGTGTGTGTGCCGTAAGAAACATCTTTGAGGTCCTTCGAGGCGTTGCTTCGCCGTCATTCTGACTTCTTTGGCTGGTCTTGTCGGTCCGTACACTGCGTCTGTAGGTACGGCGGGTCGTACGCGCCTGCGCTAGGGGTACCTGTTCACGGAGTGGACCAGGGCGGCATGCCGACAGCGCAACCGTTATACATGGGGCAGGGACCGCCGTACTCGGCGCAGCCGGTGCCTGGACAACCAGTACCCGGCTACCCGCCGTACCCGTACCCGCCGCCGTACGGAGCACCGCAGCTTGGGCCGTACCCGCCGTACCCGTACCCTCCGCCGTACCCGCCTCCCAGCAACGGCATTGAGATGAACCAGTTCACCTCCGGGCACCCGCCGGCTTACGGCTATCCGCCCCCTGGGCAAGGGGCCACTGACGTACGCGGTGGAACGTCTGCGCCGTACCAATATCCGTACCCGTATCCGTACCCGCCGTACACTGGGCCGCCGTCGGGTGCGCCGACTCAAGGTGCGCCACCGCCGCCGCCAGCGCCGCCGCCACCGGCACCGCCGCCAGCAGCTGGCGGTCCTGCAGCAGCGCCATCCGGGCCGTCGGCAACAGATGCTGGTGAGGGGTGTGTCCTGATAAAACTGAGCTGGTGAGGCGTTTGGCCGTGTTTCTGTTTGGCGTGTATGAGCGTGTTTCCCCCGTGTGTTTCCCCCCCGTTTGTTTTTGTCTGTGTTACGTGTGTTTCGTTTATTTGTGGTTTCTTATCCACCTAACAGCGGCGAGGTTTTCTGCGCGTGTGTATGTATGTATGTATGTATGTATGTATGTATGTATGTATGTATGTATGTATGTATGTATGTATGTATGTAGTCTCCTGTGCCTCCTGTGTATGTGTATGTAGTGAGACTTCGTACAGTGAGCTTCTAGTAGGGGTTCCACAGCATGTGGGTCGCGCGCGGGCGAGCGGACACGCACGCCGTACAGGAACCCTTGGACGGATGATGTGCGATTAGGAGATGTGTACTTCAGCATGCACAGGTTGTACAGCGTGTGGGTTTAGGAGCCGTGAAACCCGCTTCGGTGTTTATCATCCCGCTGGCATCATCCCCCCTTAACAACCACTTAGGCAACCAACAAGGCAAATCGCCAAGCCGCTATTCGCCAACTCGACGCCAAAACCCTAAAACCCTTGACTTAGGGTTTTAGGGTTTGCCCAGGCACGCCGCCAAAGTAGTCCCTCGCGTGCCGCTTGCTTGCCCCCCCTTTATCGATGCATGCACATTCAGCTCGAACCTAAGGCCTATCGGAGCTGCTGGTCTAAGGTCTGTCGAAGCGCCGGATTCAACGAGACCTTTCGGAACGGCCATTCTAAGATCTGTCGTAACACCCAATGTGAGAGATGCCGCCGGAACTTCTGATCGAAGAAGGCCTGATCGAACAACATCACCCGATCAGAGCCCTCCTAACGGAACACGTAATCTTTAAAAAAGACCTGGCGGAGGAACTGTAAATCCAAGTTCCGTCGAGACGCGTGATCTAAGGTCTGTGTCGGAACACCTGATCGCAAGTTTTAAGGCCTCTCCTCTGTCTCAGCTCCCGGATGGTCAGCCTGCCTGGCGGATTTAAAAAACCCGTGGCTGAACGATGACAGCCCTTAGGGACCTTACCGTCAAAAAAGCGCGTTATGATTGCCCTCACCTGTCCTAGGAGTTATCTTGGTTTGGCTGTCGATGTGGAGATGTCTGCTTAGACAAGTGTGCGGCGCCGTGAGAGGATGGCTTCCTAGGCAACCATGTAGCGCTGCTTCTTGAGCTGAGAGAGATACGATGTTGGCCACGTGATTCGAACGGACGACCTGGGAAGAGACGAGGGCTTTTTTCTCCCCGCCGTACACATATGGCTTGTATTGTCTTGACCTGCGGGTTTGGTTGTCGTTGTCTCGGAGAAGTCGTTTCAAGTTGGGAGGACAGTTTTTAGACGACAGTTTTTTGAGGATTGCCAGAACAACAACAGCAACCACCACGACCACCACCACGACAATAACAACGACAGCAGTAACAATAAGATTAAGAATAAGTGTCTCATGGTCCATGAGGCACATACTGGCCAATACTAAGCTGTCGACCGCTCCACTCCTAAAGATGCCACTCCCCGCAACAGCGCCACCTATCTGACGCGGTATCCCGGCGGCGAGGAAATTCTCTCTTCGCCCTCTTGGGACGCTGTTGGCTGGGTTTTGGAGCAGCTCAGCCGTGGCTGTCGAATCTTGTTCTGGCTGTTCCCCCCGGTGCCCTTCCTGGTCCTGGTCCTGGTCGTGGGGCCTGTGGGTTCTCTTTCTCTGCTTCGCTCAGGTCCGCCAGGGGGAGCATAATCTTTGGATTCCTTGACTGGAGCGTTGATTTTGGTGTCCTTGCTTTTCTTCACACGCCTTGACGGTGGTGATGGTAATGGTGATGATGAGGAGGTGACGGTTGCGTGCGCCTTGGAGCCGGGTGCGCCCCCTTGGCTGGATCTGGTCCGCCGCAATGCCATGCCCCCGATGTGTGTGTATTTGTATGTGTGTGTGCGTGTGTGTGTGTGTGCGTGTGTGTGCGTGTGCGTTGTTGCGGCCGCAACGTTACAGCGTTACCTCCGTCCAAACTTCGTTATGAGAAGATCAAAGGCAGCTGCAGCTGCCCTCTTTGACAGTTCGTAAGAGGAGCACTGTCAAGAAGGGTGACAGCCAGATTGTGCTGCTGCTTGGTTGACGGGAGCCTGATGCCGCCAGCCGGATTTCGTTGTTTGTCTGTTGTGAACAACAGCAAGGCAGGCAAACAATGTAATGCTCTAATACCGACTTGGTTCTGGAGCTCCTGTGTTTCCCCAGGGTGAAGGGGCAAGGGGGAGCGAGACAAGTGACACGAATTGCAATGACGCGATGCGGTCGAACCTCTCGGGATGCGTGAGCGTATGTGTGTGTATGTATGTAGTAGCTGGCCGCTGAAAAGGCCTCTCGAGATGCTGGTGGTCGCGCTTCGCACGTATTTGTAGAGCCGTACTGTGTACCTCTACTACAATGTTGGGGGGGAAGGCGCACGTTGGAGGAGGAGGAGGAGGAGGAGCGGACCTTCTCAACCGGGGGCATAAGCCCGCAAACGACGTTATGTTCGATTGCCGGAGAGGTGGTTTGGGAAAAGAAAGAAAGAAAGGTAGATAGGAAGCACTGTGGCACTGAGGAGATGTCGGCATGGGGAGGGGGAGAGGCGCCAGGGTGAAATCTAATCCATTTCGCGGACGTCAAGTCGAAGAAAAGGACTGAAGTCATGGGGGCCAGTGCCGTGGCAATGATGTAAGCGTGCTGGCGGTGGTGATCTGTAGGTGGGCGATGTGGGGGTGATGGTGGTTGAAGGCTGACTGTGGCATACGGCTTCTAAGAGGGTGGGTGATACGGTTGTGGGTAGCGGTTGTGCCAACGGTAACAGGAATAACTAACCGCAGTGCCCTAGCGGGAGCCTTGAGGTGATATGGTGGGTGGACCGCCCAGACCAGACTCTATGATATGTCCTACCCTGCTCTCGCTGTGGATGTGGCCGGGGTGATACCTGGCCACAGATGGTGCACTCACGCAGTGTATATAGGGGCGTTTTAGCATGCATGCGTGTGTGTGCGTGTGTGTGTGTGCATGTGCGTGTGCTTGCAGTAAGTCGCGGCTTCCGTTCTTTCCATCCTTCTTTGTGCGGAGCATGCCGACCGAAGCACGTGGATATGTTTTCCCGCCAAAGTGACACGACGAGGCGTTACACGACGAGGCGTTACACGACGAGGCGTTACACGACGAGGCGTTACATGACGAGACGTTACACGACGAGGCGTCACACGACCGACACGAGACGGCCGCGACTGGCGACGCGGAACAGCGCTCCACCCCCACCCTGCCTGGGCTCCCTGGGTTCAATAAGCTACTACTGCGTGCCGGGGTCTTACCCCTCACGTTTAATTTGCGTGGCGAAGGAAGTGGCTGCGCTGTGTATGAAAGAGTAAAAGCCGCGGTCGTAGACGATGCGGTGGAAGGGGTGGGAGTCCTCGCGCTGTATGTGTGTCTGTCTGTGTGTCTGTGCCTGCGTGTGTCTCTGTGGAAAGGAAACTGGCGAGCAAGGCGTAGGGGCCCAAAGAGGGGAAGGGGGGAAGGGCCCTTCCGGTTACCCGGCGAAATAGGTGATACCTGATCCCGGGTAGGTGACCTGGCGTGTAGCGTATAGCTCACCACACCACACTCGGCCCGGGGAGCTTTGCAAGGTTGACGCCGCCGCTAGGATAGGAGCTAAGAGCTGTACGGCAATAGTACGACGAAATGGAAAGCGAGCACGTGACGGGCGAATGTCCAGCAGCGATGGGTATCCTGGTGGTCGTGATCTACCACCTACTTCTTTGAAGAGAGCGAATTGATGTGGCCTTTTTACGCCTCTTCTTGTCATCCCGCGTCTTAGCGTGTGTGCCCTTGTTGTTCTTGTTGTCAGTAAGAAGGGCGCGCAGGCCCTTTTTGCTCTGAGCGCATGTGTCTCGATATTTTTCCTTTCTTTTACAACAACAGTAATTTTGGATGTCTTTACCTTTCGCGGTACAGACATTTGGGTTAATACTTTGTCGTCCGGTGAGTCTGTGAATCTTTCGCCTGTAGTACGGCACACGAAAGCAGCAGCACCGTTTTCATCGCGTTGACGGCGTCTCCTCTCCCCGGGAGCGTCTTTGTGTTCGCGCATCATGACTTATCTGGGCCGTCACAAACCTTTCCAGCTTTTTTGGGGGGGGGAGAAGAGAGGTCTTCTGCCCTTGACCGACCGTGTGTTTCGTCTGGGCTGGAACAAACCCATGCCACCGCAGAGCATGTCAACTCACTGCCTTCCTTTTCGGACTGCCCAGTTCAAAGTTGAGGTTCGCTACGTTACTACTTTCTGGGTATGAGAGGGGGAGGGAAAAAAAGAGAGGCGATGAAAAGATGAAAACAGCTCTTTTTACACGCAAAAAAGTCAAAGAGCGAATAGCATACGCCTGCGTGTGTGTGTGAGTATACGTGTGAAGGTTACAAGTATCTGACCGGGCCTGTATCTGCAAAACCTTGGTGAAGAATTCAGCCAAATGCATTATTATGTATTAGCTATTTGTGCTGTTGGAAAAAAGACGGTACTTGTCGTGACAGGCCAATCATGTGTACTACTACTCTGTGCTCGCGTGTGTTTTCACGCCGCGCCTGCTAAGGGGTGTGTTGTTTTACACTTGTGCTTGTCAATGCCAACGCACTGCGCACGTCTTTCCCTGTTGGCGCTGTTCTGGCGTTCTGGTGGCCTTATGCCTCATGGCATGGTCAGGGTCTTATGTATCAAGGCCTTTCCGCGACGATCTACATTTCATTCGCTGGTGCTCCCTATCCTTTCCTGTTCCTCTCTCGAGGGGCTCCTCTCGAGGGGCACCTTCGTACTCTTGGCGTTTTAAAGGCGTGCACGATGCATTCGAATTTACTGTCCTGCGAATTTTCGTGTAGTAAGTCTAGTAACGGATATTTCAAGGTGTGCCACCCGGGTATGTCGTGTTTGGAAGCCGAATCTTCAATTTTCATTTTGGCGCCCTTAAGGTGTTGGCACCAAAGAGAAAACCGAAAACTAAAACCTTGTAGGCTTGAATTTCGAATTGGCCGTGATCCGCATGGGCCGTCAGCGGTACTATGACCTCGGATCGTGTGAAGTGATACCTTATTGCACACACACACATACATACACACATACACACACGCGCGCGCGCACACACACACACACACACACACACACGACGCACAAGCCTCCACTGCTCTCCAGCTGTTGCGCTGTGCATGGGGGGACCTCTCTCTTCGCGTCTTTATATACACGCAAGAAGCGGAAAAGGGTGAGGAAACGACTTGCATCTCTCTCTCCCTCTCTCTCTCTCTCTCCCCCTCCCGCCCTGCTGCATACCGAACATCCTGGTTATCTTGGGGCACCACATTCAGGTGCACCGGTAACTGGTAACCGGTAACTGGTAACTGCCAAAAAAAGCGCTATTAACCCCAATCGCCGAACCCAAGCGCCAAACCCCAAATCGGATTTCTTGGTCACTACCCAGAACACAACAAAAAGTCACATTCCACAGTAGACGTTGGGGCAACACAGACGACACGCAGGACGTCGTGGACACCTGGCATATGTACATATGTGCTGAAACGCCCAGTTTGCAGTCGTCGTCATTCTCCCTCCCTCCCTCCCTCGCACTTTCTCTCGCACTCACCTCCTTGTGCAGTCCGTTCTCGACCGCCCTTCAAAAAAACCCCAACGCGCACGCCTCCCCGCGCGCACAAGGCCCCCACACCCATCGTACATTCCTCCGTACATACTCCGTGCCGCCCTCAGCTTCATCACCAGACGCCCCTCCACTACCTACGCTCCCAACCCACCTAAAAACCACCTCCTCACCTCACCTCACGACCAGGCAGGCAAACTAAGCCTATAGATCGTACATGTTATTGGCTTGCGTGTACCAATCGATCAGCAGCCTCTACTGGCAACGCCAGAGGGCCCCCCTCTAGACGTCGCAACACACATCTAAGCCGCCTAACACACAACGCAGCCGCCATGCCGCGGCCGTTGCGCCTGTCCCTTCCCCTGCCGCCCCCTGTCACTGCCGACCCCCAGACCGTTCGCTGGAGCCGCCGCATCCGCCGCCGCCGCCGCCAGCGTCAACGCCGGCCGCCCGGATGCCGCGTCCCCCATCCTCACCACCGCACCTACTCCCGCGCCGCCTCTTTCCCCGGCAGGTGACACCCCCTCCACAGCTGCCGTCTCCTCCCCGCCCGCTTGCAACGACCCACGGGTCGCTGCCCTAAGATCTTCTTCGCTGGTTCGCACTGCGGTGGCACGTTGCCCAGCTCCTTCCGCCGGCTCCTCAGCCGGGGCCCTGGCGACCGCCGGAGGTGCGGTCTCGCAACACGCCGCCGCCGCCGCCGCCACCGCCGCCGCCAATCCCGATCCCCTATGCTGTTGCTGCACGTCACCACCCGCAGTGGCTTCTCCACCACCATCACCACAAACGACCACGGCGACATCCGCACCATCCACCTCATCAGCTTCGTCTGCTTCCGGTGCCGTACCACAGCTGCACGACGTCGCCGTCGCGGCAGCGGCGCCGTCGGCGGCGCTTTGTGACGGCTTCTTGCTGCCCGGCGGCGCCTGGTTCTGGCCCGCTCTACTTGCCGGTGTGGGCAGCAGCGGGTCCAGCGGGAAGGGCGGCAGGGCGGCCAGGTCTGGCGCCCTGGGGGCTGCATCCAACACGTGGTCCGGGATGAGGTGCAGGGACCGATCCAGGACCTCCCCTGCGAGATCCGCCCCGGGGTCCAGGGGTGGGTGGTCTAAGGCATTTTGCGGGGGCAGGTATGTCTGTCTGTCTGTCTATCTGTCTGTCCATCCGTACGTCATCCGTGTGATAAACTGAAGACATGTGTAAGTAAGCGTTACAGTAACAGGTTGGCGACAGGGGGTTTCATGCACGTGCCTACACGAGCGAATGTACGAGTGAATGTACGAGTGAATGTACGAGTGAATGTACGGGAAAAGGGAGCGAGGATCAGGATGGATAGGAGCACAACCCCAGACCATTTTCCTGCGCGGTGGTGTGCTGCTAGGACGAGGTGGAACTGTAAGCAGTGAAGGTTGGTTTGTTAGTTGGTTTGTTAGTTGGCGGGGTTAGTTGGCGGGGTAGAGGTACCCACCGAAGCTGCTGGGTGCCGCTCTCAGCAGTTCGTCCACTTCGTTCTTCCAGCGCTTGCACCCGGGTTCCCCGTGGAAGAGGTTGAGCAGGGGTCGCATGAGGGTGCGGATGGACGGGTCGGCGTGGCCGTCGGGCTTGATAGCCCACCTGCATGCATGTATGTATGTATGTATTGACATTTGCGATGGTGGCGATGATAATGGTAGTGGTGCTGCTGCTGCTGCTGCTGGTAGTGGTGCTGCTGCTGCTGCGTGGAATAGGTCAAACCGTAATGTGCAAAAGAGCAGGGATGTCTGCCAAGGGCCGCGTGCAGCGGGAACCTAAAAAAGTTGGTTGGTGGTTGGTAGTTGGTAGTTTTGGAAGCCCAAGTCCAAGTCCAAGTCCCGGAATGGAACAGTACAGGACCGTACTGTTGGGGGTGAGTTCAAGTGAATCCAAATCAGGAGTCAAAAACGTTCCCCCGCGTCCAGAGCTGCCGACGAGGGCGACGGGGGCCTCATGTTGCGACTAGCTGGTTCGGGAGTTTGTGTGTGTGTGTCTGTGTGTGTGTGTGTGTGTGTCTGTGTGTGTTGCCGATTCGTGCGCTGTCTAGGGCAAATCAACGGGTCGGCCGAGATGAGGGTGCGGGGCATGTGGGGATGGAATTGAAAAGAGCGGGTTGCGTGAGCGAGTGTGTGAGCGCGTGGGTGAGTGGGTAAGCAAACACTAAGTCCTAACCCTGAAGCCCGAGAGGCACGCGGCGCATTTCCCTCAAGCAGCTGCTTTCGTCCTCGCCCCCTGTTCCCCCCTGTTCCCCCCTGCTCCCCGAGCCCCGTTAATAACCGACAAACGGAGAACTGGAAACCGACAACCGTCGAAACGACCAACCGAAACAACTGACGTACCTGCCGACCATTGACTCCGCGTATTCCCGATATCGTTCGATGACCCAGCGTCGCGATGGTGCCGGGTTGTACGGCTCGCCGTACACTGCACGGTCGGCGTCTGCTAGGCAGCCCCATGGGTCATTGTACGCGCCGCGGCCAATCATGACACCCACAATGCCGCCACCGTTGCCGCCAACCGACAAACCCTGAAACCTCCGGTCTTCGGCACAACCGCCGCCGCCGCCGCCGCTGCTGCTGCTGCTACTGTCGTTGCCGCCGCAAACCGCAACGGCGGCGGCGCGGGGATCCGACGGCGGCAGGACGGGCCGAGTGTACGGCACCGACGGATGTGCCGTCAGGATGGCGGACCGCGCCTCGTGGCAGTTCAACACTCCCCCGTTGAGGGAGAACTGGGTGCGGAAAAGGAAGGTGGTGAAGGATACCCAAACACCAACACCAACACAACGGGTAAAGCGATAGCAGTACACGTCAGTACACCGACATACAAACAGACAGTCATAAGTAACGTATGCTGGACGACACGCCGCACATGTCGTACAGGATCGAGTAGTCCCTGCCCACTCCCGGGCCCTCCGGCCGCCCTCCCCTTCGCTTCGCAAGCCATTAGCAGCGCTAGCACTAGCACTAGCAACACTAGCAGTAGCAGCACTAGATATACACACATACACACATGCGCACGTGTGTGTGTATGTGTGTGACACAGACACTCAGATCATTAAAATACATCCACAAAACACAAACGCAAAACTCACAAGAACGGGCATCCCGTGCTGCCCACCCGCACAGCGGTGCGCTCCGCGGCCCCCCATACACACATACATACACACATACACAGATACATACACACATACATACACACATACATGCACACATACATACACATACACACATACACACACATATACACACACGCACCTGCAGATGCGGGAAGTCCCGAGCGAGGGCCCAAGCCCACTGGTGCCGCAAAGGCGGTACGGTGCGGTTCTGATGCGGGGACAAACCCTGTACGACCCAGGGGGGCCGTACACCCGGGGGGAGGGGAGGAGGTGACCGGGCTGCTCACGGGGCGAGAGGAGGTTTCAGGAGACGGCGGCACTCAGAATCGTACAGCATCGTACGGAAAAAATGGCACCCAGGTACCTCCCACCAGGGTAGCAGGTCATCATGACCAAACGCAAATCCCCCTCAAGCCCCTCCTTCAGACTCTTTAATCTCCACGCGGTCCGCATAGTTGTTTTGTTTCAAGGTGGCCAGGGCCCTCCCACCCCCCCCACATCTGTGCATGGCGGTTCAGCCCCCCCCCACCCACTCTTTCCTTGGCAGCAGCTTCACTCGCCCGTGGTTCGTCTTTTCCCCCCTCCCCCTCCTGCCCCTTCCCCCCTCTCCCGAGGTCGCGGTCGCCACGGACGCCTTCAGTCAGT